GGTTATGAGACTTAGGGCAAATTGACAATAACTAGCTTATGGTAAGGGCTCTATACATGTTGGCAAGGGTTAAAGTAGGGGAATTCTATATCTGAGTTTTAATGACCAAGTTCAAATTTCTTCTCTGTGAAACATGTTCCAACTTACTGATATGTAAAATTGTTCATGTCATTTTCCCCAGCAAATGTAATAGCAACCTATAGCCACTCATTGAGGTCTCACAATAGCCCTATGACAATGGTATTTCTAGCTCCAATTTACAAAGAGGGAATGAAAGAAAGCTTAGAGAAATGAAGTGACCTGCTCAAGATCACAGAGCCAATAAGTGCCAGGGCTGAGATTTCAGACCCTGGGCATGTGACCCCCAAAATCCCACACTGCTCAAGGAGGAGACCATATGTGAAAGTGGGAAGGGCTGAAGGTGAGGATAGACCAGTGTGGCACTATGGGGTGGGGTGGAGCTGGAGACATTTGAGGGAGTATCAGGACCAGAAACTGGAGTGGCAGCTTTTCAAGGTCAGGTAAGGAAGTCCATTCCAGTATCATCTGCCCTGAAGAGGAAAAGGGATCCCACTGCGCACAGAGTAAAGGACACCATTAGGACACAAGAGGGCGCACCTTACCTTAAATCCAGCCTGGAAGCAGTCTATGGTTTCCCTTAGCTTTTGTCTAATTAAAGCTTGGCATTTTCCAGAAGAGGAAATCTAAGGAAGACTCAAGAGGCCAAGTGCCCTGCCTCGTGTCATATAGAAATAAGTAACGAGCTTGAACCAAGTTCTCTCTGGTTCAGCGCCTGTCAGGATTGGGTTTGCAAGCATTCTACCACATTGTCTATCCAGACCTTCTCTGAGTTGGGCTGGAGCTCTAAGGATACAGAGATGAAGCAAGCCTGGTCCCGGTGCCCAGAGCCTGGCCTCTAAAGAGGTACGTAAGAGTGAAAGTTAAGTACATGCCAAAGTCACACAGCTAAAAAGCAGGCAGTCTGACTTCAGAATAAAATGAGATCAAAAATAAATAGAAATAGAAGTTACAACATTTTCTTTCCTCACCCTGGTGTCATCATCTTGTGCACCCAATTTTGGAGATTGTTTCTTCTAGAAAGACTTCCGGGTCTGTGATCAATTCTCTGAGAAATGGAGCTGCAGGAAATTGTGGAAACGCAGAGACAACCACTTTCCCCAGTGCTGGGAGGTCAGGGAAACTGATGGTTGAGCCACATCTTAAAGAATACCTAGGCCAGTGCATGACTGCAATCCCAGCGCTTTGGGAGGCCAAGGCAGGAGGATCACTATAAGTGAGGCATTTGAGATCAGCCTGGGCAACATAGTGAGACCATGCCTCTACAAAAAATTTAAAAATTAGTGGAATGTGGTGGTGCAATTTGCTACTCAGTAGGCAGAGGTGAAAGAATCACTTGAGCCCAAAAGTTGAAGGCTGCAGTGACCTATGATCATACCACTGCAATAATCCAGCCTAGGCAACAGAGTGACATCCTGTGTCTAAAAAATAAAATTACTTGGGAGTCCCCAGGGGAAAGGTGCTCTTCTGTACAGAAGCAGCACATGGAAAAGCCTGGAGACAGTAGTGCATGGTTTCCTGTGAGCCATAGTGGTATAGCCTGGTCAGAACACAGAGTGACAGAGGGGTGGCTCCTCCTTCTACTGCTGCTATGAGTCTCAAAAGGAGATAGACGTGAACAGCACTTCATGTTTTTATTGAACAGGCAGTCAGTCAGCTACCTCCTGGGAAGCATCCCAGTTTTTCTGTCATCAGCTACCAGTCCCTCACTATGTTGCCCAGGACAACACTACCCCAGAAGAGCCAGAGAGGAACTGCCATTTCAAGTCCTGCAGACTTTCTGGGCTCCAGAAGCCCCAGGCTGGGCTCAGCACCATGTGGGTGTCTAGCAAGTTTAGGGTGGTCAGTGCAGCTGAGAAGCCAACCGGCCCTCACTCAGGGATATCAGAGGATTACTGCCCAAGTTCAAGGTCTCTAGCCTCTGTGGGCCCTGAAATACTTCACCTTTCAGAAAAACCAACTGGTTTCT